AAAGAGATTTGGAGAGGTAAAATAACTTCTGAGTTCATAGACCTAACTCGGAAGTGACAGCACAGGATTCTGGGGCTCTGTGACTGTGTGGTCCTGGCTTTCATTCGCCCGTCTTTCAGCCCTGCTTTATCATATTCCATCTTACAGCCTTTGCCTCTCCCCACTGCCTTTTCCCTCCCACTTCTCTCTCCCACTGCGCTGGGAGACTATGGGTCTACCACTCATGCATCCACTTATTTATTTCCTTTTATTAAAAATATTTTTTTCATAAAATATATTCTGGTTCCTCCCCCAACTCCTCCTAGATTCTCCCTACCTCCTCACCTCCCCAAATCCATACCCTTTCTTTTTCTTTTCCATCAGAAAAAAAAACACAAGCATTTAAAAAATAATATGATAAAATAAAAAAGCAAAATAAGACAAAACACACAAACAAGCTAACAGAAAAAAAAGAGAAAAAGTATAAGAAACACATATAGATGCAGAGACAAACACATTCGAATATATAGAAATCCCATAAAGACATGAAGACAGAAACCACACTATATTAACAAAAAATCTGTAAGGTTAAAAAAAAAAAAAGCCAGACAAAGCATTGTGAGACAAACAAACAAAAAAATCTCCAAATGAACTAGTAAGTTCATTTTGTGTTGTCAGTCTACCGTTAGGGCATGGGCCTGCCCTTAAGTGTGGTTTGTATACCCAAGTGAAACTCTGTTTTGTTTTGTTTTGTTTTTTAACTCTGCAGGGACCTGCCACCCAGCTCCCAAATAAACACATGGAGATTTATTCTTACTTATGAATGCCCAGCCTTAGCTTGGCTTGTTTTAGCCAACTTTTCTAACTTAAATTACCCCATTTCCCTTTAGCTATAGTTTACCTCTGGGCTTTTATCTTGTTCTATATACCTTTCTTTCCTTCTTACCCCGTGGCTGGCTGTGTGGCTCGGTGGCTAGCCCCTAGCACGCTCCTCTTCTTCTTTTCTTGCTCCTCACTCTTTCCTCTCTTCTTCCAAGCCTAGACTTCTCCTCCTATTTATTCTCTCTGCCTAGCAGCCCTGCCTATCCTTCTCTCCTGCCTAGCTTTGGCCATTCAGCTCTTTATTAGACCATCAGGTGTTTTAGGCAGGCACAGTAACACAGCTTCACAGAGTTTTCACCATAAAAGAATGCAACACATCTTTGCGTCATTAAACAAATATTCCACAGCATAAACGATATAAACACATCTTAAACCAATATTCCACAACAAGACTCTGTGGAGAAAACTAATTTTCCTTTGCAAATGATTATCAGTTGGAGATGGTTTCTGGGTTGGGGATGGGGGCTTGTGTCCCCTGACACCCCATCTGGCTTAGACCTGGAGCACTATTTATTGATCTATTCACCAACTGTTTCTGGTGGGGGAGCAGTGCATGGCACGTATTTATTTCTTTGCGCAAGTGTCCTTGCATGCCTTCTGTGTGAGTGTGCGTAGAGGCCAAAGGTCCACAGGTGCCTCACCCACTCTTTGTGTGTTTGTAACAGTCTGTCTTTGGCCTGGACCTAGCCACGGATTAGGGATGCTTCTAGCTCTGCCTTCCCAGAGTTGGGGCTGAAACCGGTGCCACTGTGCCTGACTTTTTGTTTTAACTACTGGTAGGTGAAATCTGTTTCACCTTTCTGGCTCATTTTTCTTAAAATGGGCCTAATTTCTAGAATACTTTGAGATTTTTACACTTCACAGGCAAACACTTTCCTGCTTGAGCTAGCTCCCCAGACCTCACTAGCTATTTCAAGAAAATGCATCACAAAAGTCCCTCTTCTTTAGCTCCCTGTACTACAGCTATTCCCAGTCTCCTTCTCCCACTCAGTCCTAACAACCAAGAGAAGGGTGGGAGGAGGAAGTGACTAAGCAGGCCTGACTCCAACCTCCTCAGGTGCAGACACACAAAACTGCATCTTTAGCCTTTCTTTACTTAAATCCCATTGTTGCTTTATGGATCTAACAGAATGAAGCAAATGAGTAAACAACTCTGTAAAGAGTGCTATGGAGCGGTCTGTGAATGGAGAGTCCAATTACCCTCCGATGGAGTTGTGCTACTTCCCCAACAAGAAAACAGGAGCGCCTAAGCCAAGTATGCCATACACGTGTTCACAGTGAAGAGGAAGCGGAGCCCTACAAAATAGGAACTTGGCCTGGGAAATCTCTTGTAATCATTGTTGCTAACGTCCGGTTTACACAGTTCAGCCGGGTTATCCACAAGAAAATGGTGTTAACCCGAAAATCTCCACTGTACTGGTTTTCCCGGGAGTCGCTCCTCCCTTCTGCTCCCTGGAAGTTTTGAGCCATTGGCAAACGTTCTCCTTGCAATCTCTGCGGATTCGGTCCTTTCCCTCTTAAGAGTCTCTGCCTCTCCACCCCCTCCGCCCCATCTCCTTAGCCCCCCTGGGGCCACGGTGGACTACAACTCCCGGCGTGCCGCGCGCGCCGGGCGCTTCACTGGGCTCCGCGCGTGGCGGCCACCGAGCGGCTGGGGGGAGGTAAGTGATGGGCTCGCAGGCCGTCCGGGAACACGCCCGCCCTCCCTCCTCTCCAGGATGAAAGGAACCAGTGAGCACCAGGATAAGGACAAAAACAAAACAAAACAATCCAAATTTCCCCCAGACCCCCGCCCCGCGATCCCTGTGTGTTCGGCGCCCCGCGGGCGTGCACTTTGTCACCTGGAGTGGAGCGGGGCAGAGCCGGCGGGACGGGACGGGGTGCTAGGCTCGGCGCCACACCCCTAGGAGCTCCCACCCCCGGCAGACCGCCCGGTTCTCCCAGAGAATCTCAGCAGAAACTTTCCCCGCTGTCCCCCGCGCCACCGCGAGTTGCTCAGCCGACTGCCGGCCGGCCGGGAGGGCGGCCGTCCTTTGCCCTGGAGACGCCCTTCGGGAAGCGTGCAGCCCTGCCCTCGGGGACCTCGGTCCAGCACGGGACCAGGCGGAAGATCCCTACAGTACAGCCTGGCTTTCCTGGGCCGTCTGTGCGTCCTGGAGGTGGGTGCGGGTCAATATAGAAGCCATCTCTCAAAGTACCTAGTCTCCCGTCCTTCCTGACTGGCCTCCCCTCCCCCACCCGAGGGCGCTTTCAAGTGGTGCAAAAGTTCTCTGTTCCAGAATCCTGAGGCTAGGGTATCCAAAGTTACCTTAATACAGACATACTGCCTTAGAAAGACTTGTTTGGGCGCCCCCTACACACAACACAACACACACACACACACACACACACACACACACACACACACACACACACCACAACATGTTTTATAATCACAAAGCACACCGCTTGCATACAGCACACAACACATACAATCCACACAAATACAATATTAACATACACGTTCTTATAAGAGCAAATGGCTAACGTGCTTGTTAGAGTGTGCAAAGATAAGAGGGTGAACACACATGTTCACAAATGTCAACTTATTTCCAAAGTTAGAAACTAGCTGGTAAGTGAAACCTGTTACCATCATTTAGGACACCTTGGTGGCTCGTTCTTGATGAAGTGGGACCAATTTCCTACAACACTTCTAGAAACACATTTATTTAACAGGCAAACATGATCACAGCAGGCAGGAAGGGGAGCTTGGCCTTTTTTATGTGAAGGGCGAGGTGCTTGGAGAAACTTGACAGAGCCTTCCCTCCCGTGAGTGTGCCTGAGGAAGACTCAGCCGTCTTACATCGCTGACTCTTTCCCTTGGAGAGCGGCAGTCAAAGCTGCTCTGAGAACAGTTCTGAGCTGTGCTATCAGGGCCCCCTCCCCCTGGGTCCCCTGCCCACCAGGCTTACCATTCGATGCCAATCCCTTTGGCTGTAGTTGGAAAGTAGAACAGGAGTTTCACATCAAGTCCCACCGTGTGGATCTGTTGATGAGTTAGCACTCCGTCTCCCTCATTTTGGTCATTCATGATAATGTACACACGTGCCCACCCAGGCTCAAAACAGTCCTCAGAAATATTGAGCGCTTACAATTCACCCTAAAAATTTATAGCTGCTTTTGCAACGAGGCAAAAGCCCAGTAAAGAGAGCCTTTGAAATAGTTCTCAGTTGTGGGCCTTTGGGAAGCTGAAAATTTCTAATGCCATTCCTGAAACAAGGTGGGTGGATGGGTGGGTGACTTAGGAATTCAGGATCCAAATTTATCTCAGACTTGTTGACCTTTGATCTCTGAATGTCTTTAAGGATTAGTGAAGCAAAGGGAGGCACCCACTTTCTCCTCAGTTCTGCCTAAAGTCAACAACATCACACTTGCAGAGGACCAAGGATTCTCGGGGTCCTTGTAAGGAACTGAAGGTCTCCGTATTTTGAGTGGATTTTGTCAGTGCGTTTCGCCATTGTCTTTTGGTTTGGTTTTTTGTTGGGGAATGGGTGTGGGGGATTGGTGGATATCTCGAACTAAAAGTGTCAACATGTTGATTGGTATATGTTTTCCACTCATGTACAAAACGTTTATGAGGTTTATGGAGCAGAAATGCCCCCCACAACCCCAATAGCGGTTCCCAGCTGATCCAGGGCACTGCAAGATTGATCAGGTAACAATCGAAAAACTCTCCTCCAGTCTCTGGTTTCTACCACTAAGTTTCCTGAATTGGAACTGAAATGGTGGTAGGTTGGCGCATCTTAATTATATGTGACTTGGGCAATACCAAGTGCTCATGGGTTAGAAGTGTTGGCTGAATTTGGGGGTGGGGAGGTTAAGCTTTTTTTTTTTTTTTTTAATGCAACTGAGCTAAACCATTCAAATTAAGCCTTGCCGGAGTGTTTTTCCTTTGCAGAATAAGATTTAGTTTGGTTTGGTTTTTCTTGGCTTCCTCGGCTGGAATGGGAACATTTTCAGGAGCTCTGGTCTTCTATTACACATTCTCTCCGAGAAAGATGCTGCTTCCTGCATCATGGAGTGAAGGGATTTGCTGGCCAACCAGAGCTTTCCTTATCCTCACAAAGAGATTACTTAAAAGGCAGCTCTGGGAACTTTATCCAGCACCTCTGTTAGGAAAAAAGACTAACTCAGGGCTGCAGCTTCTGAGTGTTCACGGTGTGGAGCCCGCCATAAGCCCTGGGTTTCCTCTTATTTTCCCACGGGGAGAAAACGAAATAGTTTGAAACCCGGCATGGCTATGCAGACCAACAGTGAAGATCTCTGTGGCAACGGGAATGGAGGGAGACACTAACAGGCTGCTTAGACAGCCTCTTTTTCCTTGTACGAGACATGTGCGAGGAGAGTTCTGCCCACTTGCAAGTGGTGCTCATTCCCTCTCACTAATTGTGCGGAAGGTAGTTAGCAAAGTGAACAGGCACGCTGTAGCTTTAAAAAGTCAGCCATGAACCAGAAAGCGGTTGCGGCTTGTGTGTGATTCCTAACGTCGTCGTCATGTTGGCTGAGAGCCAGCCTGGTTTTATTTCACTGTGTCAAATTGTACCTCCTTATTGAATTCCTTTGCCAGACTACTTTGTGAAAGAAAACACTGGGGTTTCTTTGCTGTTCTTGATAAGCCTATAAAAATGATATGTTTTAGTTGCTTCTAGGTAGGTTTTCTTTTTACTCTTTCAGGGAAAAAAAAAAGAAAAATAATAGTAGTGATAATAAGACAATGTAGCGTGCTGTGGTAGAGTGCCGCCGTGAGTTGTTTTGTTTTGTTTCTGGGATGCTTAGAAAATGGTGAATGTCTAATAGTTTCCAACTGAAGTGCCGTTCTTCTTGTGGCTGGAACAGCAGCACTCCCTATCTACTCTGACTGTGTGGATGTATGCTAATATCTATATGTATATTAAATGTTGGGTTTCTTCAGCAGGGATCTTAGAGACTTAGCAACTGCAGGTTGTGTGTGTGTGTGTGTGTGTGTGTGTGTGTGTGTGTGTGTGTGTGTGTGTGTCGGGAGCGGAGATTATCCCACGCTGGCAATGTTGTTTGTTAATCATCTGCTTCTGGAAGAATGATAATATCTTGTGAATATACTGAAGGATGTACTTGCCATGTCACAGTAATCCCTGGAGAAGGAGTGCCAGAGTCTAAAGTGACTAGAGAGGAAGTGTGTTTAATTTATGGCTTCAGCTGAATACGAAGAAACTCCAGACAGACCAGGCTTTTTGTTTTGATTTTCTTTTCTTTAAAGCAGGACCCTGCCCCCAATTTTGTTAATTGTATATTAGTTGTGGAGGGTTTTTATTTTTTACATGTTCCTCATCTGATAAACATAAAGACAGTCATACATGTTACTGTATATCTCAAATGTTTTGATTTTACATAAATCTGATGAGCTGCCTCCCCTCCCCCACCTCAAACACACACCACCTTCACCCTTTCTGTGCTAAGCTATCTGGTTAGTGTGTGTGGGTGGGTGTGGGTGTGAGCTTTCTGCTTTAAGTCAGCGTGGCCGTCTCCCAGAGTTTTGCTGAGCATAGATGAGGTAGGGGAACACTTTCTGACAAAAGCTTTAAGTCCCTTCTGCATTTCTTCGAAAGCTAGAAGCAGGGGGTGGGGGTGAACAAAAACAAACAAAAAGCAATAAAAGAAAAAAGGAAAAAGAGAGACACAGCCCAGAGTAGGAAGGGGCCGGAAAGAGAGGCTTGTTTTCTCTACTTTGAGTAGGAGTTACAGTGTCTTCAGGGAGCAAGGTGGCCAAGGAAGCCCTGCCAGGCAGGTCACCCTCCTGGTTTGGAAGGAGGCTTCGGTTTCCTTTGCACGTTCTTACTGCCAGGGTAGGCAGTTCGCTGCAAAAGAAAGCACTCTAGCCCATCATCCAGTCCTTCAGGTTGATCCTCTCTCTCCAATCACTGGGGACTAGAGATTTAACAAACGTGCGTGAACTGGTGTGAAGCTGTGAACGGGACCATGTGTTTCCAGTTGAGAATATGTATTCTCTCACTTTCTAAGAATTAAACCCAAGCTTTTCTCCCTTATTGATTAGTTGCGGAAGTAAAGGAACCCTGCAAGCCTTCCCATGCTCTCTGTTGACATGGACAACAAGAGAAATGGCCGTGTCGGGGTCAAAAAGTAAGTGAAGCCGGCTTCTGAGTTCTGCTTCTGCCGACAACACAGGGACCTGGTTTCTGTTTTGATTCTTCTTAGCTACTGAAGTACAGCATTGGAGGGGGGGGGTGGGTTCCGTTCATCGCAGTGGCCACCAGCTACCTGTCCGACCTTCCCCCTTAACTCCAGTTTGTAGTCCAGCTCTATGACAAGTGGTAACTTTAGGAATCAAGACCTGTGTGGAAGGCTGATGGTATCAGGCTATGAATCAAAGAGGCTTGGGAAATTTAGCCCTACATTGTCATATAAGACAAAAAACTGAGCAAGCAGATCCCCAAGTTCATAGGCTGCTAGGGTAGGAGCAGAGAGTAGAGTTTGAGATTTTGTGTTTGCTTTAACAACGTCACCTCTAACTCCAAAGCTGAGACTGGTAGTTGGCTTTAGTTAGATATAAGGTTAACTTCTCTGCCTGGTTTTTCATTTTTTCCTTGAAGGTAAAATATTTCGGTGCATATGGAGGGGGTCTCTTTGGATATCTCTTCCCACATGTGACACTCCCAATTATGTTTGCTGTCTGAGGGTTATGTGCTGGAGTCTTCTTGATAGGAACATACGAGGGGATTGTGCGGCTTAGCATTTCTGGAACATAGGAAAAAACTAAGTTGCAGGGTATCTGTGAGTCATTATACTCATTGAGGAATTATGTTGAAACTGTAACCATCTTGGTTACAAGGAGGACGAAACTTCCAGGAGGGTGTCCACCAAGTCCTTCCTGCCCTTTTGTTTAGCAGGTTGGCCATAAAAGCCATGATGGGTGAGCAAGGAGGCATGTGCTGTAGATTTATTAGTAGAATATCTATTTCCCTTCACAGAAACATTACATTAAAATTAACTTAATAAAAATCTCTTTTTTAAAAAAAATTCCAGAAACTGCTGGGTCGTGGTGGTGGTGGTGGTAGTGGTGGTGGTGGTAGTGGTGGTGGTGGTGGTGGTGGTGGTGGTGGTGGTGGTGGTGGTGGTGCACACCTTTAATCCCAGCACTCAGGAAGCAGAGGCAGGTGGATCTCTGTGAGTTTGAGGCCAGCCTGGTCTGCAGAGCAAGCTCCAGGACAGGCTCCAAAACTACACAGAGAAATCCCATCTTGAAAAAACAAAAAACACAGCAAACAAAAAATTCCAGAAACCAGTGCATTCCTGCAGTACTGCCATCTTTCCCTTTACAGTTGAGGGAGACAGAAGTAGACGGACAATGGAGGCATGTTTTCTTATGGATGGACATGTGAGAGCTGAGCTAGTATGAGCTGGGACTGGAATATTCTCTACTGTCTTGTCCAGAAGGGTAGCCAATAGCTCTGTGTGGCTGCTAACTACTGGCAATATGACTAGTGTACCTGATGAAACTAACTTTTCATTCACATTTATTTCAGTCAATTTAAGGATGACCGTTGTTGTCAGACCTAGAAGTAAAGGCCTGTAAAGCCACTGTTCGGGAGGCTGAGGCAGGTTCAAGGCCCAACATGAGTTCTAGAGTTCAAGGCCAGCTTGAGCAACTTAGTTTGGCCCTGTCTCAAAAACAGAAGGGAAAAGAATGTGGAGGTAGCCCAGTGGTAGAGTACTCACTTAGCAAGAATGGAGCCCTGGATTTAATCCCCAACAGTAACAAAAAACTGTGTTGAAATACAATGCACATATATAACAAATTGCCTGTGCTAAAGAGATAAATTTTGGTCAGTTTTAGCATTTTTATACCCATAAAGCCACTGTTCCGACTGAGATAATGAGCAGACCTCTCATCCACTTCCTCACAGTCCTTAGTGGTCTCCCCTTTCCATATGTTTCCTGCGTCGTCCGTGTCCCCAGACAACCATGGGTAAGATGTCAGTCATAAACTGTTTGACTTTGCATAAGTGAGTATATGTTATACATGTATAATATGCATATAAAACACATACTTATGCCGGGCGATGATAGCGCATGCCTTTAATCCCAGCACTTGGGAGGCAGAGGCAGGCGTATCTTTGTGAGTTCAAGGCCAGCCTGGTCTACAGAGCAAGATCCAGGAAAGGCGCAAAGCTACACAGAGAAACCCTGTCTCAAAAAAAAAAAAAATTACATACTTACATAGACTGGTATCTCAGCATAGTCTGTAATTTTTGCATATCACTGTATTACTGGTTCATTACCTTCTTCTGATTCAAGGTCTCACTGGCACCATTGATTGCTGGAACTTGTTGGGTAAACCAGGTTGGTCTTGAGCCCACAGAAATCTGCCTGCCTCTACCAGCCTCTTCCTCACAAGTGCTGGGATTAAAGGCATGTGCTACCATACCCAGCTTGGTTGATTGCTTTTTACTACAGGGTATTATTTTATTATATAGGCACACAGCTACTTACCCAACTACATGGTGACAGAGAATGGAGTTGTTTCCATTTTTGTAGGTATTATCCAAATGAAGTTGCTTTGATTGTTCATGTTTAGGTCTTTATGTGAGCAGGTGCTTTATTGCATTGTGTAAGCACTTAGGAAGGAATTAAAGTGCTTAGCTATATGATAGGTATATGTTAAACTCTGTTACGAACCTTTCCCAAATGCCTTACTATCAACAGTGCATATTTCAGCTGTCTTCTTTCCTCATGAAATCTCTAACCTATTAGAGATAGTGGTGAGGGTGTCATTTCCATTTCCCTAATGCCTTTTGATGATAGCTTTCTTCTCTGATGCTGCTTTGATATCCATGTATCATCTTGGGTGCACTGTTGTTCAAATCTTTCACCTCAGTTTTTATTGGCTTTTCATATTTGTTGTGTAGAATTTTTATGTATCAAGAATACATATTTTATTGGGTTAGTATTTTTTTCATATTTGCCATAGGATTTCTATGTATTATAAACACAACAAGTTCTTTATTATGACTTGTTCTTGGCTTGTTTTGTTGTTCTTTCTTTAAAGTCTTTGAAATTGAAGAAGGTTTTTAATCTTGCTGTAGTCCCACTTATTTTTTTCTTTTATGGATAGTGCTTTGGGTGTCATATGTAAGAATTCATAGACCAAAGTCTTGGCAACTTTCTTCTAAGAGTTTGATAATTTTAGGTTTATGTACTTAGAACTATGATGTTTAATTTAGTAGGGGTTTTTAAAAACGATTTATTTTACTGTTATGTGTATATATGTGAGTCTCTGTATGGGTATGTGAGCATCCTTGCAGGTGCCTATGGAGGCCAAAAGAAATTGTAGGAGCCCCTGGAGCTGGAGTTATAGTCTGTTGAGAGTTGCTCATTGTGGGTGCTGGGAACCAAACCTAGGTCCTCTGTAAGAGCAGGAAGTACTCTTAACCACTGAGCCATCTCTAAAGCCTCTCAAATTAGTTTTTATGTGGAATGTGAGATAAACAAAGTATTTGTGTGTGTGTGTGTGTGTGTGTGTGTGTGTGTGTGTGTGTGTGTGTGTGTGTGAGATGGTATTAGCCAAATTTTCTAGCACCATTTGTTCAAATGTTTCTGCAACTTTTTTTTGACAAATAATTGATTCTATGTGTTGGTCTATTACTAGACTATTCTGTTTCACTGATTGTTTACATATATGTGTACCAAAATAACGCTGCATTGATAATTGGAGCTTTGATAACTATGGCCTCATGTTAGGTAGTGTTAACTAACTTTGTTCTTAGTTTCCATAGTAGTTTTGATTCTTTAGATTTCCTTATGATTTTAGAATCAGCTATCTCTCCTGAAGAGAGAGAGGGGGGAGGGAGGGAGGGAGGGAGGGAGGGAGGGAGGAAAGAAGGAAGGAAGGAAGGAAGGAAGGAAGGAAGGAAGGAAGGAAGGAAGGAAGGAAGGAAGGAAGGAAGGAAGGACGGACGGACCTGGTGATATTTCCATTGGCAAACCTAATGACATTTGAATTAGCATTTGTATGAGTTGGTTGGGAAGAAGGGACACAGTGAGGACAGTGTGTCTCCTCGTTTACCTGGTCCTTAATGTCTCTTCACAGTGTGTCTGGATTTCTGAATGTTGCTCTTAAACACTTTCACTTGGTGTGTCTGTTGATATTTCTTGTTTTTTATGCTATGATGGTTTGAATTTCCAGTGATTTGTTATTACTGTATAGAGCTAGAGTTGATTCTGTACATGGTCTTATTTTCTACAACTTCATTAGACTTACTTCTAATCACTTCTTTAGGAGAGTCCACAATATTTTAAAATCTGGACTATCATTCTTTGTCCTTAAATATGGTTTTACTTATTTTCTTCGATTTTGATGTTGTTTGTTTGTATTTCCTTCCATTTTGTTAAGTACATTCTCTGGCAGAACACTGAAAACTGTGATACAAGCAGACATCCTTGTTTTATTCTTTCCTTTGTCTCTCACCCTTTTTATCCCATGTGCAGGTGTCCTTTTATCCTTTCACCTGCTCTTAAGATTTTTTTAATTTGTGTTCTGCTTTGATTATGAGGCTTGATGTGACATTATGCTTCTTGTACTTGGGCTATGTTTTGTTTTTTAGATCTGTGAGTCTAGTTTTCATCACATTTGAAAAGATATTTAGCCATTATTATTCCAAAACATGACCCTTTTCCGTTTGTGTATGTGTTTGACTACTTGATATTTTCCCAAAATTCCCTGATGCTCTGTTCATTTTTAAGTGTTTTTCTCTGTTTCATTCTGAATAGCTCCTGTTGCTGCATATTTAATTTTACTTAATCTTGTCTCTTAAAATTCTAATCTCTTGTTTAAAATATCCATGTATATTTTTATTTCAGAAAAAAATACTCATCATCTCTAAAAGTTAACCTTGGAGGTAGGTGTGTGTGTGTGTGTGTGTGTGTGTTCGTGTTCCATGTCTTAACATATTTAATCTTTTCTCTAGCTTTCTGATATGCAGATTATAGACATAAAACTTTAATCATTTGAATTAATTTCTCAATTTTAAGTGGCTGATGTTTGATAATTTTTGATTGGATGGTAGGCAGTGTGAATTTTACTCTTTTCAGTGCTGGATTTTTCTTATATTTCTATAATTGCTTGATGTAGGTTCCTGGGTGCTATTTTCTTAGAAACTGTCTATCCTTTCAAGTCTCTCTTTTAAGTTTTATGAGCCAGGCTCATAAAACCAAAGCTGCACTGATCTAGGGCTGTTTCCTGGCCTTTTACTGAAGCAAGACTCTCCTTTTTACTATTCCAGTGCTCCTGCATTATGAGATTTTCCTTTCTGACAGGTGAAAAAGGCACTATTCTTGCCCATGCATGATGTCTGATGATTTTTTTCCCCTCTAGTACTTCTGGGTAATTTTTTTGCCCCAGCCTCAGAAAGTTCTACGAAGATGCTGATGAGAATTCTGCTGAACACTCCAGGGACACCCTTTTGAGTTGGTCTCTACATGTCTCCTCCTAACTGTCCCGAGTGCATGCTGAAGACCTTCTCCAGGACCTACCTTTTTTTTTTCCTTCTTTCAGGGTCCTGATCCTTTAGTGACTATGACCAATGTTTTGAGTGCCATATTATTTTATATATTTTTGTCTGCTTGTTCAGTTGTCTTATGAGAGTAGAAGAGTGAGCTTGGCCTCCATTATTCCACTTGACTGGAAGTAGGCATTCCATTCAGTCTCAAGCCACATGGCCACAAATGGCTGTCTGTAACAGTAGAGAAGGAAGAGCCGGGTTATCATGTAGACTCTCTAAAGTCATGAAGCATTAAGTCTTTTGAATGTGGCTGTGCACTATAAGATGTTTAGTAGCATCTGCAGCCTCTGCTATTGGGTCTCCATTATGCCTAATCTACATCATGGCAATCAAGCATGCCTCTGGACACTGTAAGAAGTTTCTTAATGCATAAAATCATCCCTTACTGGAAACTGCCAGCTTTTCTAAGCAAACCTGTCATGAGGATTATGTAATGCTGTAACTTCTAGGCATCATGACTCATTTACATTTCGTGTACTGGTCCTTTCTGCTTAAAACTGTAAAAGGACCATAAATACTAAAAATATTTCAATCTGGAGAATTCTTTGCCTTCCTTCTTTTGCTTCTTGCTGTACATATTATAGAAGAAAGAAGAAAAGAGGAATAATAAAGCAAATGTTATAAAATAGTAACAAATTGGGGAATTTAGGTGAAAGATATAAGAGATATTTGCACTATTCTTCAGTTTTAAGTCTGAAACTACTTTTTAAAAAACACGTTGTGAGAATGGAGAAAGTCAGAAGAAAAGATGTGTCTCCCTTTAGGAAAAAGCAGCACTCTCAACCCAGATTAGGAAACCGGAGGCCAGCAAGCCCGACACTGAACATTGCGCCTGAGACTCTGAATCAAACCGTATGTTCAGAACACTTGGATTTCACCTTGATTTTACTTCTTGGCTATCAGAAGAATAACACCCACTTAATTTATCCCTGCTCTGAGTCTCTTGACAATAAAGGAAAGATTGAAGTTGCAAGGATCAAAAGAAAGTATGTGTGTAATGAATTATTCAGTGAATTGCAACGATAGTCATTATGTTCCAAGTCAGAAAGCATCACAGCACCTACTGTGAGTCATGCCTACCTACTGTGAGTCATGCCTACCTACTGTGAGTGAGTCATCCCTACCTACTGTGAGTCATGCCTACCTACTGTGAGTCATGCCTACCTACTGTGAGTGAGTCATGCCTACCTACTGTGAGTGAGTCATGCCTACCTACTGTGAGTCATGCCTACCTACTGTGAGTCATGCCTACCTACTGTGGGTCATGCCTACCTACTGTGGGTCATGCCTACCTACTGTGAGTCATGCCTACCTACTGTGAGTCATGCCTACCTACTGTGAGTCATGCCTACCTACTATGAGTCATGCCTTGTGCTGTCCTCACAAATATTGTTTCATCTAATTATTACAGCCTTTGATATTTAAATATATTGCAACATTTAACATGACTAACTAAGTCCAGAAAAGTACCTGTGGAATAGTTTCTGTTTGAAAATCACATGGAAAGTGGCAAACCTGAGATCTGAACTCAGCTATTTGAAATCCAAGATTCTCATTTTCCTTCCAGCAGGTTCTGAGCTGCAACAGCCCTTTACTCAATCCCATATGCTGGCGTGAGTCTGGTTGCAGACATGTTGGAGCATACTTGTTTCAAAGTTCAACTGGGTTCTTTGTCGTGGCTATAAGAGAATAAAAGGAGGATTAAAACTTCAATTTCAGCCGGGCGGTGGTGGCACACGCCTTTAATCCCAGCACTTGGGAGGCAGAGGCAGGCGGATCTTTGTGAGTTTGAGGCCAGCCTGGTCTAGAGAGCGAGATCCAGGAAAGGCGCAAAGCTGCACAGAGAAACCCTGTCTCGAAAAACCTAAAAAAAAAAAAAAAAAAAAAACCTTCAATTTCAGGTCTGCTTTTTCATTTGCATTGACCTAAAAGGGAAAGGATACATACTAAAACATGTTCTTGATATTTCTAAGACATTTTCATTAAGCTTATTCAGTATTCGCTATGTGTGGGACTATTTCATGTAAGGACATTTTCATATAATGCCTTGACAATTTTCAACAAACACCGTAGAGGAGTTCTCTTCCTTGCTTGCTTCTTTCATTAATTCCTACTAAAAACTCCCAAACTTGAGCCACAAAGCTCTTACATATCTAATATGGATCCTTGTTAAGATTTTGGTTATTTTGTATCTGCATCGATTAGATGTTGGCAAGACAACCACGAAAGCTTAGATTCCACCTGAACTATTTCTGAAGGGCAAGAGGAAATGGCCTTTTATGTTCGTGATCTTCAACAGTAAAAACTCATGCCCATATGATAAGCAAACAGAAAAAAAAATAGCCCAAACGGGAGCACTCATTCCACAGAAGGTGATATTTACATCGCCATTTAGCATGGAAAGAGGTAGTCAGTACAGGTTGTGACCAAGAAAAATGCAAATCAAGTCACAGCCACAAACCCATTCACTTGGCAAATGTTTAAAAATATGAAAATACCAGTCATGATAAAGAGGATCTCTAAGATGGTAGTACTCCAGAATGTTGATGTCTTTGGAAAACAGTTTATCATTATTTTATAGCAAATATTGTATATCTCAGCAATTCCATATATATATATATATATATATATATATATATATATATTATATCTCAGCAAATACATATATATGTAAATTGTTGTCGTGTAGTAATAAATTTTGAGCCACTTAAGTAATTTAAAATTTTTCTAGAGGACATTTGTGAAACAGATGAAACAAATTTCAGTAATATATTTTATTTAACTATGTTATCAACATAACATTATTGAAATATTTTTTCATTCTTGTCATATATTTTATAAACCTATTATGGAGTTTCCATTTTTGTGTATCTCAAGTTGAACACAAATTTTCCTTGTTAGGTCTGCACTTGGATTTCATATAATTTACAGATGGAAAAAGTGTAATCACATACCCAGCCAACTCCAAAAACACTGATCTGCTGTCACCCTTTTCACTAGGCTGTGGGCTTCCAATGTTTATCAAGTGTCTGTCTCATCGTAGACCAGTTAAAATTGATTAATTGATAATTGGAATTAAACATTGACTGGAGATATCCTGAAGGGGAGATTTAATTGCTACTTTAAAAACAAGTGAGTAGGGCCCTTAATGTCTGGTAGAGAACAGAGAAGAGGATTTGAGTGACATAAGTAAAAACGTCGGCTTGGGGAAGTCGAGGCTGTTGTCCATTTGAGTTTCAGGACAAATCAAGGCTGTTTGAATCAAATCTCTGGAGGCTAAGCTAAAAGAACTCAGAATAGACAGAAAGCTGGCGAGTTATGTGCTTCCCAGCACCCTCAGCACTTGGGTATGCTGCAGCTAAACACACTCAACCCTTATTTATCTGAATATTTTTAAGTTAAAACCAGCCTGTCAACCTTTGAACCATTCTTTCCTTTCCTGGGTCAGGCTCTCGCCGGATCTCTGCTTGTTGATATGATGGGAGAGAGAGAGGGAAATGGAGAGGAAGCTCTATCTCGTGTAGTTGCTTAGTTCTTAGGTTTCTCATAAGCAAAGAGATCAATATTAATTTATTAGAATCAGAGTTAAGTTACTTTTAGCTAAAGGCTATTTTAAAACATGGGCAAGGAGTAGGGTAATTTGATTTAAAAATAAGTCATAAAAATAAAGTCAGTACAAAATTAGAGTACATTTCTGAGTACAAAAATAAGTAATGTTTAGAAATAGTTTCATGAAAAGAGCAGTGTGACAGATATATTGCCATAATCACTAGGCAGGATCAAAAGTACCTTTTCTCTCCTAAATTGAAGGAAATATGTAATGGTTTAAAAAAATGTGAAATTCATATGGATTATATTTTTCCCAGTGTCCTTGGCCAGCCTTTCATTTGTGTGCCAAATACTTGAGGAAGAGGGGTTTATTGGGCTCATGTATCCCAGAGGTTTTAGTCACAGTCACCTGTCTGTGTGATCTCTGTGAGGTAAGACAGAGCATCATGGTGGTGATGAGCATGCCCAGTGGCAAAATCTGTCAACTTATGGTGGCTAAGTAGAGATAGGAAGGGTGCAGGGCAAGATTTAACTTTCTGTGACATCCCCTCAGTGACCAGCTTCTGACTAGGCTCCACCCCTTAATGCAGCCACCGGCCAGCAATGCCATCAAATTATGGATCCATGAGCGGATGGTTTCAGTGGTGAAGTAAAAGCTCCAGGAGTCAGTCACCTTTGCATGCCTCAGCACACAAACCTCTGGGGACCAGTGTGCATCACTTCAAATCAGAGCACTCCACCTCTGGTCCCCAGAGGCGCACAGTCGTCCTGGAATCTAAGATGCACCTAGTCAAATGTCAGGAAGACCCTTATTCTTAGCAGTTTCAACACAGTGCAGAAGTTTAAGTCCAAGCTTTCCTCTGAGACTTGATGCCGCCTTTACTTGTGAGCCCTGTGAATATAACTTAAAACTACATACTTACAATATACAGTGACCCAGGAAACAGTCCTAGTTTAAAAGCGAGGTATCGAGAGACTAGAGATGAATGAAACCAAAGTAAAACCAAAGCCTGGAGGGCAAATGTCAAGTCTATAGCTTGTTCAGGATGCAAGTTCCAAAGAGCTTGGGCAGCCCTGCCCCGTGCTCCGGCCAGTACAGGCCACACGGCCCATCCCTTGAGCTTGTACCACTCGCTACCACGGCTCTTCTTGGCAAATATTCAGGTGTACTAGAGACATTCATCAACTTCTTGGGGTGTCCTTGTATCTTCAGATTTACTCCCATAGCTTCATGTCTTTCCCTCTCTGGAGCTGTCCACAGGGAGTCCATTCCTGCTACGCATGTCCTGCTCTCCAGAAGGCTCTATGATTCTACAATATTTCTTTCTACATGCCTGCCAAACCAATAAGGCATGTTGACACGAGAGTTGGCCTCCTGCTCAAGAAGCAGCTAGGTCTCTTGGACTGTGGTTGCTATGGCTTTTGTATCTCAGGAAACTGTTCACTACATAGACTGATGCAAATAGGATGTCCTAGAGTTACTGTTTCTCAAAGAAAAGTCTGTCGGATGAATTTACATTTTGTACCAGTGAACATGCTTTTTCACAAAGTGTCCTCAAGGCTTCTTTCTTATTGCCCAGGACAAAGTACTTGGTTTCTTTTTAGTGACTAATCTCTAACAACTACAATTTCTTTGGTCCCAACACTGAGCACACACTTTTTCTGGGCAATCTGCAAGTATTTCAAATCCATCCACTCTGCTTTTGCTCCCAGTTTTCACTGTGGCCCTTACTAGTAAATCATAGCCTGGCAACAGCATTGATGCTAAGTAGCTATAAAATGCCCTCCCCTGGATTAATTAGTCTACTGCATTTAAACTCAGCCTTCCATAGAGTCTCAAGGCACAGACAAGATACAGACAAATTTTTTTGCCAGACAATAACCTGAAGGCCTCTAATCCAATTCCACTATAGTCCTCATCCTGTGACCTTATGAACCCAACATTTACTGTCTGAAATTTTCTCAGATCTGAGAAAATTTTCTGATGTTTCTGATTGTCCATTAAACTCTTCTTAGAGCATTCTAGGATCCCTCCAGCCTTTACCTCCATGTGTTTTCAAGTTCTTTCCACAAACCAATCCCCAATTTTTCTAATCTAAATAGTCAAGTAAAGTTGTATTGACAGTGCCATTTCCTGGTGCTGGTTTTCTTTATCAAACACCAGACACAAGAACATCAGATTTCCCTGGCTTGCATTGTTCGTCACCCCATTGCCATGTTGAAGAAGGGATTATAACACACCTAAGGGAATATCAAGTGTACATTAAGTCTTGAAAGATTAGTGTATTAGTATGAATTTACCAGAGGAACACTCTGTATGTGTGTGTGTGTGTGTGTGTGTGTGTGTGTGTGTGTGTGTGTGTGTATGAATGAATGATTGTCACTGGGAACACCCTCACCAACATTCCCAGAAGTGTGCAAATTGACAGTGAAGATTAGCCATCATAGCCTTTCTGCTCTGTCTGACGAGACCCCAGAATCTGTAAATCATAAACACCATAAGATATACATGAGCTAGATTCTGAGAAAGATTCTACTATTTTTTCATTCAATAACTATATTTATGATATTCATTAAATACATTAATTGTATTGATTTATTACATTCATGATATTGTGTCCTGATACTACTTTGTAGGGCTTTTCCACTTAGGAAATCATTGCTTTATATTCCTTTCTTCTCAATCTTGAGATAACGTCTAATCTTTCTATCTCTATGCATTTGTATATTCTATATATTTCATGTAATATAATTCTATAGTATTTGTCCTTTTTTGGAATGTAAAAACATTTTATGTATAACTGCAAGAGAGATAATACACAGATAGCTTGAACATAAAAACAGGTTATAATTCAAAAGTCCAAGGCTATTTGAAACTGGAAAATACTTTCTCTGTAGAAAATAGTAAAAATGATAACATTTCCCAATAAGCCCTTTTAAGCCAAATGATAGCTGAATTATATATATAAATATTGATTAGATTCTGGGATACAGAAGAAACCTATCTTCATCTGTTCAGAGAGCTATGTTTTACTTAAGTTGTATAAGTGAGATTCCTATTCATCTTCCCCTTCACTGTTTGATTTACAACAGACATTTTTCTATAGGCTAATCCATAGTCTAAAAAGAT